AACTACGTACCAGCTCCAAACGGGTTGTCAAAACCAGACCCCGACACGGGAAGACAGCCTGCTCCTGTAGTGTCGGAAAATGGAGCCTTTATAGACAAGTTTCCTGAGTGAAATAGGCGGGCCGCCATTGGCCTTTCACTGTGCCAACGACTTCCGGTTGTGTCTGCAAAGCACTTCCGGTTAGCGAGTTAGCGCCTTTTACGGTCTTTGGTTAGCGTGCAGAAAAAGTAAACTATGGATGTGTTACACGCCGACACGGCTCCGGGACATATTGTGCTTCACGGTTGCAACAACTCGTGGCGATTGCTGAATGTTTGGTCGGAAGGAGAATGTTTCGACCATCAACCATCTACAAGTGAGTAAAATGCTATAGATTTGCACTCAAATAAGGAAGGCTTATCATTCGCGGAAGTCAACACAGTCTACTAATTATTACACAGACGAATGTCAGCTTTTTCATAGAAAAAAAAGTAAGTTAATACCTTTATCCATTCCGAAGCTATTAATAGATATGTCAGGGGTGCGCACTTTGACGCTCGTCAGTCGACTCTGAAGGGTTAAATGCTTTTAGTGCAGACAGGCTAGAGGGAATTACTTTTTCTTTTTATTACTCTTCGTTCTGTTATATATTAACACACGGATACATACAAACATCTTAATACAAGCATAAGATGGGCTAACGTACCTTCCAAAGCGCGGCGGCTGCATGGCTACAGGTTACAGCCTGCAGTCTCCACATCTCCCGTCTTGGTAACCAAAACCCAGGCGTTATGCGCTGAATTGTTAACGGACTGACTTGGTTGAACATCGGCCTTTAGGTAAATTAAACTGCCCATATCGTGTAAAAGTACACAGCCCACTTTGTGGGAATGGAGGCTCTGAAACGCCTCTGAGCTTTCTTAGGTTATTAATTGCATTCCCATCCACCGCCATGGAATCAATAAAATAAGAAAAGATCTTGGATGTTGTGCTGCTGGGCCATATCGACATGTTGTGCGCCCATGATGTACTTGGATGCGGAATGGTCAAAACACCATTTTTAACAAGATTTTCGGTCGAATGTTGCCATTCCAAAGCCATTTTTACACCACTACTCAGCCTTCAGTATTGTCTTCATGAATTAATTCATGTATTTGTAATTTTACACAATTTTTCAGTTTTTCCAGGTATGGAATCGGGCTCCTCAGAAATAATTCATCTTCTGATGGTGGTGGAGCAGGGGAGGCCCTCTAGGCCTCCACAAGGTGTTATCGATTGCTCTTTGCCATTTTAGTGGCTCTTCTCTTTCCTCTATGAAATGGAAACTTTTTGCAAAACTATTGCACCTCATCCCTACAATGGCTTATAAATGTATTATTTATTATATTATTATTATTATGACTGCCGTTGCTGAGCTTCCAAATTCAACAATGCCTGATGCTGGCTGAAGGAAGTCAATCCTTCCATACATACGATTGCTTGCTTGACAAACTTTGTAACCTGGTGAGTTTTATTACAACTCCTGATGTCATTCATGGCTCCTGTGCACTTAAAGCCCAAAAAGTCCTTTTGTCCTCCAAAGGTCATTTCTCACGTCTGACACAACGGCCGTATTGAGATGAGAAATACCAAATTGAAATTGTATTTTTCATTAATTGCCTTGGAGAGAGATTACAGGAGCAGGAACTGTTTCCGACCGCGTCCCACCCACCCGCCCCCTCTTGATTTTTCGCTTTGTTTGTTTGAGAGATGCAATTGTGCCCGAGCTCGGTTCTTCCTGACCTATGGAAGCACTGCTCAGAGGGGACCGTTGGTGTTTCACAATAAATGAGATGTGGCATGACAATCTGTGGTGAGAGGCTCAGGTCGTAATAAGTGCCCTCATACATAAATTACCTAGTTAATGCACAGCTAATCATCCAGACAGACGGAGGGCAGCGCCTGCTGGCAGCGTGCATGTGCCGGTACATTGCATGAAATGGGATTGACATCAGCAATCAACCTACGGCTTAGTGGTGGAGGTTTGCATGAATATCCACATGGGAAAAGTGGTTGCCTGCAGTATTTGGAGTTTACTCTGTCGGTGATTAAGTGCTCACATTGGAGAATGTGTGTAAATATACAACACATATTTAGAATGTAAACCAGTGAACAGTCTGTGCATCTCATGCTTCGAGGTATGTCTCTGTGACGTTGAGCTGTAGGGTCCAAAGCACAACACACACCAGATATTTGGTGTCCATGAACAGTAAGTAGTGGACAGAAAGGAAAGCAAGCGGGGAGCATCAATGCTACAACATGGACGTGTCTAATGATGATGATTGAATCTTCACGATGACCTTTTTAGATCACATCCCCGTTATGTTGGGCATCCATTCAACAATATACACACACGCAAGATAAGAAATAATCATTTACTGTATAAAAATTCAATCATCTTTTCTTTCTGCAAAATTAAAATATTAGTGCCAGTCAATCTGCAATTTTACTAACCTTGGAACCCATCTCACACACACACACACACACACACACACAGTGCTGCAGTCACAGTGATATCCGAGGTTATTACGGCTGCAGCCAATTTAATGGGAGTCCATTTTGTTAGGGTGTCGGGTTTGTGCGGGGGGGGAGTCTGTGGGAGCGGACTGGGGGGCCGGGGGGCCGCGCAGCTTCTCCATACAAGTGTCAGACTACGGAGGAACAGAGAACAGAAGAACAGAGGTACTTACGTCTGCCGGTGGGACAATGTCTCACACCGCAGTGGACTTTTACTGACTGAAGATGTCAACAGAGAATAAACCCACTGGTTTGATGGATTCACATCCACGCGTGATTGTGCGTGTTGTGTGTTACACTTGGTGACATAAGCACATCCATGTTGAATCCTTCTTCCAATGTCTGCAGCCCAAACCTGAAAGTTATCTGAAGCTATTTAGAGGATGAAGGATGCGCACACAGTGGGCTGATGTCATCATGCCGTAGGAAGTCATTTAGATAAATGATTAAATGGAGAGGACTCAAATTAACACACAGGGTTGGTCATATACTCCCTCAAGTATCCCCCCCAAAAACAAAATTCTCAAAGGTATTTTAGATTGACAGATTTAGGGAAATGATTTATAATAATGAGCAAAATGCTCACGTTTAATCAGGATTGGTCAAATAAAAATTCAGAATAAAGATTCAGTGGTTTGTCTGTGCATTTGTGAATAATTATTTATCTATTTACCTTTGTTTTGGACTCACATGGGTCACAGGTAATTAATGCTGAGGTCAAAGAGTCTCAGACAATCACAATCTTAGAAAAGAGTTCTAGAGAAGAAAAAGGTTCTAATCAGATCTTTCCTGAGCATCTTGACCCATCGCTCTCACCTGTGTTCCTCAGGGAGAAGATGGGATTCAGGTGCATTGCTGTGTGTTTTGCAGGCTGTGCTAATTATTATCAGCAGAGCACAACATTTTATTCAGCTTTATCCTTATGCATATTAAATAGGATCTTTGTCCACGACCTCATTTCGCTCCATGTCTACTTTCCATCAGGCTGCACTGTGAATAACAGGGAGGGGACGGCATTGGCGTCTCATTTGGGGACGAGGTGCAGGTCCATCCCAGTCTGTCCTCAGTGGGAGCTTGTTTTTCTGTCTGAGGAAAGCTCAGTCTGACGTACACCAGCAAACACATAGCTTATCAAATACGAATCTCATTTAACAAACTCCAGACTGATTCGTGCTTGTGGCACTTATCTGGTATTACCTTTTAGGCTGAATGTCTAAGATATCGCCCACAGTGACCAGAAGGATTATTTCAGATAAGTGACAGGTTCTCGCTGTCAGCAGCCGCAGCAGGAAGCGGTTTCCACTGATAAACCCACAGTTTGACTAGCGTGTGAACCCAGTGGAGCATTCTGCCACTGCAGAGACGGATATGTCCCTCTGGAGTTGGTGGAGACCAAAAACGCAGGCGTGGTAGAATAGTCACATTATGTTGCTCTTTGCTGGGTGCATGTATGCGTCTCAGGTGATCACGTTTATATTGAATCAGGAGTCGTGTGCTCCGTGTTCAGCTGTGGCAAAACGGGAGGAAAAGGGTCAGTTCTGGTTAGAATCGTTTGATATTCTCACTTGATTGACATTAGCTGATCACTACATGTGTTTTGTTATTGTGGGACGCCAGGCAACCAATTCCTGTCAAAATGGAATGTAGAGCCTTGATCTTGAAAATGTCATTTGTGGTTGAAATTAGTGGATAATGTCCTTGTGTATTTATTACTGAGTAACCATAAATAATACACAACTCTTCCAACGAGCCATGAGGACAGACAGAAGTCCTCTAAAAGGGACAGACTGTTCCTTCTCCTCGAGAGGAGCAAGACGGTCTGACTGAAGTCTTTGTTGTCCAATCAGAAAGACAAACATGCACAAAGGAACTGGAGCTGGAAACACATGTTGAAGGAAATGTAGACTTTGACCTCCTCAGTGTGGACGATCATCAGACAGAAGATAACTAATGCATTCCACATGGAAACGGGAAGGAAAGTTTTCAGTCTTCATGCATGAGTTTAATTTGAGTTGTTGCTGCCTTATTGTGTCCAGTTGTGATCCAGTGTCTTGTTTCACACCCTCCTCACAACAGGAAATGAAACGCATTGTGCAGATCTGAAAGATATTCTTGTAGAGAAGTCTGCAAGCCTCTGAATCACACTTACTTGCCCTGAGGCTTTTCTGCTTTTTGTCCACGCCTTAATGTCGGAGGTCGGAAACAACGGCCCAGAATAGGCAGACTGAGCGAGGGCCGAGGCTCTGCACGATTAACCGAAGGTGCACCTCTGGCCTCAGACTCTGTCCAGATGTTGTTACAGTGTGTCGCACAGCTGCTGAAAGCAGATTCTGCTCACTTGTGGGAGAGATTGCAGAAGTAAAAACTGAAGAACAAAGCAACACATCCTGTGAGCCTAAATCTTGATTTACACTTCCCCCTCCTGCGTAGCCTGAGCACATGAGTCATCGTCATACATGTCCTACATGATACTGTTTGTGGTGTGATGCCTTCACTGCAATCCTTTAGATTATTGATACTGGAACCAGAGCCCAGCTGTGCAGCTAACATGGTACTTCCTCTTTCAGGGTAAATAGAGAGTGGAAGCAGATCCACCTCTGGTGACGACGACACGCACACTGCCTTCACCCTGCAGAGGCCTGCAGCTCCTCCAGACGGCTACAGACTCAAGGCACCAACCGAGATGTGAGGATACGACTGTTATGTGCTACGTAGTCCCAGCCGTACGAGTGGAGCGCTTTCATCCAGATGTTGTGATGTTTTTCCCACAGATCACGTTGACATGGCGGCGGGCAGACGGCGCCTGTTTCATCTGGCGGCGCTGCTGTCCATCGCTCTCACCTCCCTGACGACACTGGACTCCGAACAGGAGCTGCAGGACAGCGGCTTTGGCCGACCGCCGCCTCGCCACGGCCTGCCGCTGCTGGCGTGGTACGTTCGGGACTGCGTGGACAACAACATGGTGGCGCTGTGCGATCCCATCAGAGGAGAGTACGGCTTCCACGAGTTTAAGAACCGAGGGCCCAGACGTCTGCTTCCGGTGATAAAGGACAAAAGGCAATACAAGTACTACACCGTTGGAAACCTCCACTCGGCCCACGCGGACCAACTGCCCTTTGAGGTCAGGAGGTACTACAACCGCAGCGACCCCGAAAGTAACAAGGACAGGCTGGTGGTAAGGTACAACAACAACAACAGACATATTGAGCAGATCTACGCGTCTGCACATTATCGGCCAACAGAGACGTACATGATTGGCCCCGATCTCGTCGACTCTCTGCGACAGCCAGCAGCCAACACACGCTGATGTTTGTGCTTTAAACAAGCTTTCACTGAAATATGGAGCTGCTGCTTTTTGTTTCATTCACAAACGCTGACCGCTCGGCCTGTTTGCACAATATACAGCAAACACGAGCAATGTCAATAAATATAAACTAAATAAATGTGCTGCATGAGAATTAGGTTTTTTTCGTCGATGACACATTGATGTTTGGTTTGTGTGTGTGTGTGTGTGTGTGTGTGTGTGTGTGTGCTCACTCTTTGAGGCTTTAAACTAACTCCAGTGTTAACCCGCTCAGAGCGACAAACGTCCTTAGAGCAGGAAGTCACCGGGTGGGAGGACATTACGTCCACAACTTACTACAAAAGGCATAAAGCTTCTGCTTTAGTGGCTCAATATGGGACCCTGGCCAGATAGAAGTGACTATAGATTAGATTAGATTAGATTAGATTAGATTCAACTTTATTGTCATTGCACAGGGTACAAGTACTGAGGCAACGAAATGCAGTTTAACATCCAACCAGAAGTGCAAAATAGCAAAAGGTGCAGAGTATGTGATTATGTAAAGTGTAATAAGTGAATAGATATGTACAGTAAAAAATAGTTATGCAATATGAACAGTAAGAAATGGATATGTAATAATAAAATGATCTTAATACAACAAATGATCACATAATACATCCTCTATAAGATAAGAAGAAGGCACCAAGCAGCTTCAGTAAAGTAAACGAGAAAAGCAAGACAATGAACAATGTGTATGTACTTTTTTACGTTGCTGTCAAGTAAAAATAAAAACTCCAGCGTTTTAGAATCTGTATGAACTCCAACAGCAGCAGCCAGTCAATCCAAATGTTGTGAAACCTGACGCTGCGGCCAAAAGGTCCCGACTCACTTTTAGTGTTATGATGACAAAGCGCCGTGATGACAGAAAGGCCTCATTCCTCTTCTGCGCCCTCCTCGACCATCAGGACAGCAGTTAGCGCGCCGCGCGCTCACAGGCCGGACCCACGTTTCATTTGCGCTCCCACTAGAAAATAGAAGCGTGCCGGTGAAACTAGCAGAAGCAATCTCAGCAGATAACAGAGATTTATGGGCTCCTCACTTTGTGGCAGACTAAAGAACGTACGGGTGGCGAACACGTCCTACTCGCTCTAAACCTTCTGCTCCTTGTTAGCTTCGGTTACTGCTGGAGATGCTCAGTGTGATTCAAACACCAGCCACGCTGTGTACCGTCCCAGATGCTGAGGATTAGCATTAGCACTAGCATTAGCCAGCTAGTCCACTACCATGTTTTGCATACTGTTATACCAGTTTCTCTGCTTAGGCTAAATATCTTATGCCTTTAGAAAAAAGTAAGATATTACATTATATTTACATTTTCTGCTTATTGAATTCAACAAAATGAAGTTCAGTGGCGGATCTGCATTTCCTACGTGGGGATTCTGTGTCTTGGTGTGAACGTCAGTGACGTGTCGTTTGAACGAATCCTTACAAGGACTCGACAGTAACGAGTCCTCTCAGAAAAAGATTCGGCTCAATGAACGAATCATTGACCCGAAGACACGTCGGGAGTAGTTATTATTTGAATGCAGGAATTTATCTTACCACCCCCCAAAATGAACGAATGACTCGAAAAAAGATTCGTTCATTTTACTGAACCGAGTCGGTAAAATGATCCAAATAAGCCTGTAACATTTAAAGGGAAATAAAAGGTACAAAAACACATGAATATGTGCATGACGGTACTGCAACACTGCACATTCATACAAATATCATCAACTGGGATAAAATGAACTATATAATAAAAACGTGATTAACACACTACTGCAGACGTAAAACACAAAAACACTTCACTTAACAAATGCTGTTCATCATTTACAGACAATTCATCCTGATCTGATTGGTTGAAGACTATTATTCCCATATACTTTAATGTGCAACGTCTCTAACTTTAATTCTCTTTAGGCCAGCAGAGAAGGCTTAACTGGTCCTAACAGCCCACCGCTGTAGCGTATAAGACAGAGAGACTCTCCTCCCTCTGCCGGGTCCACCTTCAGGACCAGCAGCCAGCAGCAAAGAGGGCCGTCACCATACTAAATGTAAAATAACCAACTACTGACCAGCGTGGGGAGAATATCGGCTAGAATTGATAAGCTGTCGAGGGGTTCTTCACTTCTCACCTTGTCACATGACCAGTGCCTTGAACATTGGAGCTCAGCATGTATCCACACATCCTCACAAACTGCGTCAATGCAGCAGCATCTTAACAAAGTGCTCGGTCACTTTCTTAACGCCGCACGATGAACCCTGTCAACCCATCGCATGATGTCACAATGGAAAGAGGTCATATGCATATTCAATGAACGCAAATACACAAAGTACACAAATGGGGTTGATATAATAACAACAAAACCGTCCCATTCACACACATGAATTGCATCCATTTCTACGCCACTTATGCTGAAAACCTTTTTACAAACCTTTTTTTGCCGGAAACCATTTGAGAAAAGATTTTGGCACGAAGTCGTCAGAGATTTAACCAATTTGTGTTTTTATTCATGTTAGTTGAAGTTTGTGGGAAGGTGTTGGTTTGAATACATTTTTAGTTAAGCGCAATCCAAAGAGTGAATGCAAAAGAATGAAACGTCCCCTAAATTGACAGATGCAGATGCCTTTATATGTTTGTGGCTGTTTCCTCCATGACAGCAAGTCTCTCACATAAAAGCATCCGAATGCAGATAATAGCACTGATTCACACAGCGCACTCCGCTGCCCGTCCCCTTGTGTTCATCTTAAATGGGCTTGAATGGAAATCAAACTGAAGGCGGCTCTTAGTGATGTTTCACTCTGCCTGTCCATGGCGAACAGAGGACAGCTTTTCTCTGAGTGGATGCTAGTGGGGGGGTTCAAGCGCTTTGACAGGATTGTAAAGCGACAGAATGAACAGATGTCTCCCAATGATTAATGTTCCTCCTGCTTTGCCTCATGCGTGTCCATGGATCTCCAACCCCCACCTCCTCCCTGGCACCCATAGAGCTCATGTCTGTCTCATCTTTTACATTTCTCCTTCCTTCTGTACAGACTAGGTGGTACTTTCCCTGACTATTGCATTTCATGGGGAGATGCTTGTTCCAGTCAGTGCGTCAGACCTGAATGACGGCAGTCTAATTTGTTTCTACTGGGGTCTAAGGGCTTAAATGGAAATCCTCTTGTACTGGAGACGTCAACATTGTGTTGACGCGTTCAATCGGAGAGAGAAGCAAATAGAAACTCTTCTCTCTTCCCCAACCGCAATGTAAAGAAGGCCTGAAAATCTTTCTTCAAGAGGTGTAAGCCTGACCCCTAACGGCAGACTGCTGCAGAAACAGTGTGTCTGCTTTGTGTTTTCAGTCCCTTCTCCTTCCGTCTGCACGCTTTGAGTGGACAAACATCAAACAGCTGACACACACCGACAAATCCAAACGTGTCCCTTGGTCCCCCTGCTACTTCCCCACTTGATGCATTCCTCTGGGGGGTTCCAGGGGAGAGACGCAGTGCAACAGCGCCCCCTGCTGCCGCCCGTAGGACAGGAGGAAGCACGCTCGTCTCCGGGGAAATTGCCCATTAAAATCCAGCACTGCGTGGTAATGCGGAGCGGGCCTGTGGTAAAGGGCTGGCATTAAATATTTACACTGTGCTAAATATTTCATCTGGTCATTTTGTATTTAAATTGGATTGAATATGTAATATAAATACAGAGCTAAGTGGGGGTGGAATGTTCTCCAACACAATGCAGACATGGTGTGTGTGACTGTCACACACAGCATCCCCTCTGCAGCAGCACACGGTTCATCACTGCAGGGAAGACAACAGCGATTCTACACGTCATTTAGCCGACGCTTTGACTGCAGCACTTAGGGGTCCGGTGTCTTGCTCAGGGACTGTATGAAGTATTGTGTATTAACTATCCGTATGTTTCTGAAGTGGTTCTGTATCGTCTGTGGAGCCCGGGTGACAACGTACCCCCCACGCCCTTATGCCATTTCTCACATATAAACTCACCTCAGTCATGGCAGTCACGACGTGGGTCGTTGTGGCGCAGGGGTTAGAGAAGGTGTGCTGGGGAAGCACAAGGTTGTTGGTTCGAGTCCAGGCTGCCCCATGTTCCATGTCGAAGTGTCCCTGAGCAAGACACCTAACCCCTAATTGCTCCCCGGGCAAAAATGTGAAAAAGCCATGGGTTTAAAGTGTAATGTAAGTCGCTTTGGATAAAAGCGTCTGCTAAATGACCTGTAATGTAATGGCTGTCAATAGCTGTTTATTTTTATAAACGTTCATTTCTGCGGATTTGTTTCTGGACCAAGACTCATTTGATGAGCTGCCGTTTGTGGTATTTCTGTGTTGGCTTCATTTTTAGACAAAAACAAAGTCCAGCAACACATGTTAACACCGTCAAAGCAGCCACGGCCTTAATTATACGTCGCTATAATCCTTAAAACCTCGTAATAAGTATACAGGCTAAAAAACAGGAGTGTTGCAAATGAATTACACAAGTTACGTGACTAACTTATTGAACATCTGGCTCCAATGTGTCTCACACTGATGTCCAATGATGTGCTTTGAACAATTAGGTTCCAATCCAGCTTGAATGAGTCTTTAATGAGTCTTTGAGCTTGTTAACTAACTCAAATTATCAAATTGAATAAATGAATTAATATCTGTCAAAAACAGACAAAACAACAAGGCCATATTGTATAACCAAATAATATATTAAATAATGAAATATTCTAACTTAAAACGTATCAAAACTCCCAAAAATGTACAGTTGAAGCATAAGCAGCATTATACTAATAATATACCATAATATACATCACCAGACTGTCATGTAGCTCAACTTAAGACCTTTCATTTCGATAATTGTGTATTAAACAAAACGAGCCAACTTGCTTTTAAATTACATTACATTACATTACATTACAGGTCATTTAGCAGACGCTTTTATCCAAAGCGACTTACATTACACTTTAAACCCATGGCTTTTTCACATTTTTGCCTGGGGAGCAATTAGGGGTTAAGTGTCTTGCTCAGGGACACTTCGACATGGAACATGGGGCAGCCTGGAATCGAACCACCAACCTTGTGCTTCCCAGCACACCTTCTCTAACCCCTGCGCCACAACGACCCAATTTCTGTCTGTCT